AGGTTGGATGCATCCAGAAATATTGGAAACTGGGCTTTGATTTCTTGAGCAAAGATGGATATGCTGAAAGTCCTCAAAAAAAAAAAAAAAAAAAAAAAAAAACCCATCCACTATTAAGGTGCAGAAGCTAATGTGACAGGCAGGAGGTGGATGCAGTATTAACGTGGGCGGGCTGTGAGCATCACACAAAGGGCAGACTCCGTGAGAGTCACTGCTGCCTCCTAGAGCTGAGAAAACACCAGCAAACCCTATGCCTTGCCATGGAGCAAGAAAGTGCTGTAAGTTCTGCTGGACCAAAAGGCTTAATGTCAAGGTGGGAGAGAGCCGTCATTGCTGAGGAGTACAAAATTCAAAGGTGTCAGGTGTCAGCACTGAGATCTGGACAGACTGGCTGTCTCACTAAGGTGGGAGTCAGGCGGGCGCAAGAGGCGCACGAGCACTTCCAGAGCACTTCCCACACGAGGAGGGCTGTTCGAGATGCTCCCATAAACCAAGCCGTTCATGTCCTCATTGCTGTGTGAGGACATTCAGCTTCTGTCTTTCACCTTACAGCATGATCCTGGAAGCAGGGAGCAGAGAAGCACGTGCCCCCAAATTCTACAGCTGGCAAGTGGAAAGGGGTTTTTGGCCTAAATGACTTTTCGACCATGACAGTAAATGGCCAGACGTGCCTTCTTCCAGGTGGCAGAGTTACAGAAGGTAGAAGCTTCTCACCGCACTCACGCAGGTGGCAGAAACTCTCTGCCTTCAAATTCGCTGAATGTTTGTCAAGCTTCACTGAAAGGGACTTTAAAAACACCCAACACAATAGTGTTATTAACATATAATTAGCATACAATACAAACCACTTTTTAAAGGAATTTTATTTTATTACATTTTGTGGCTGGCTCAGCCTGCCCTGGGTGTGGTGCCAGGGATCAAACCATGGTCTCTGTGCTTTGCCTAAGGTTGCCTAAACAGGCGCTTTAGACTGCTGAGCTATCTCACAGGCCCCAAACCCACCTATTCAAGTATATAGTTTTATTGTTTTTTTGGACACAAGGTCTTGCTATGTAATTTAGCCTGGCCTCAAACTTGCAAACCTCCCGCCTCAACCTCCTGAGTTTTGGGATTATGGGAATATACCAGCATGCCTGGGAAGTGTGTGAGTATACTTCTGTAGCATTTTAAAAAGTGGCTTTTTTATATTTAAAGAATTGTGCCACAATAAGTTTTATAATAGTCCCATCACTTTAAGGAAAAAATTTGTTCATTAGCTGTCATTTTCTGTTTACCACCAATGCTAGGTAGTCACTAGTCTACTATTTTTTTTTTTTTTTTGGTGGTACTGGGAATTGAACTCAGGACCCTGTGCTTGCCAGGCAAGCTCTTATTGTACTGAGCTATCTCCCTGGACCCCCACTAATCTACTTTTAATCTCTAAAGATTTGCCCACACTTGCCATTTTACATAAGCAGAATCATACAATATGTGATCTTCAGTGACTGACTTCTTTCACTTAGCGTAATGTTTTCTTTTTTTTTTTTTTTTCAAAATTTTATTGATAACCAGATAGCAACGAGACAGCTTCAAATCAAATCGGACGTACCGTTTCAACAAATAACACACTGCATATATTCTTCTTAGTGGTTAATTGCTCTACAAGATGCGGACTTGAGATCCTATTTACAAACACCATTAGAACAAGTCATTCTATTCATTAAGAGAATGTGACTATGTATCTATCCCAACCTCTTTGAATACACAGATACAGAATGGACATTCATCGGTATGCCCTATTTCTTCTAAGTTCTGTTATTGAAGTGTAATGTTTTCAAGTGTATATCCATGCTGTAACTTTATCAGTACTCGATTTGTTTTTACTGCTGAATAATATTGTGCAGTATTATATCTCAATTTTATTTTTCCATTCATCAGTTAGTGGACCTTTTGGACCCTACTTTTTCACTATCATGAAACATACTGGTATGAATATTGATGTACAATTTTTTTTTTTTGGCAGAACTGGGGATTGAACTCAGGCCCTTACGCTTGCCAGGGAAGTGCTTATCCCACTGAGCCATCTCCCCGGCCCCAGATGTACAAGATGTATTTTATGTGGACAAATATTTTCATTTTTTGGAGGTACTAATCATAGTCTCTATTTCCATGTTATTCACTTTCTTATTCTTTGCAGGTTCTTTTTACAGAATCATACTCTTACCAACTTTTCCAGTCATTTCCTTTTTATACTTTATAAAATGTATTTATTTTACATGTTATACATATTTTCCAGCCATTGAACAAAATTTAACTCAGTTTTGTATGAGCCACTCTACTGGATGCTGGAGAGACACAAGATAAACTAGTGTTTCTACCTAGTTGGGGAGGAGGATAAGGGCTGAAGCAAACATAGAGTTAGAATAAAATATTACTAACATCCTATTATATAGAATATTAGTAATATGTATCATAGCAGTGACAAGTAGGGTGTTCTGAGGACACAGAGAGGGGAACTTATTCTTGCCAGAGTCAAGGATTCATCACAGCATGTGTGACACCATGGAACTCCCCTGAGCAATACAGAGAGTCTGGAGACAGAAGGGCATGCTAGGCTGAAGGGACAGGATGTGCTCAAGTCCTGGGACGGAAAGCGCACAGCTGGGTTTGAAGCCACAGAAGCAAGAGCCGTGGCACACAGTGCCTCCAGTGGGGAGGTAGAGTGGCCGCAGGTGAAGGGAGAAGCCAGGAAGAGAGAAAATCACAGAGGAACTCAGAGGTCTTTCTAGGCGGTCTGGATTTAAAATCTGAAACATTTTACACTGGAGGATTAATTACTACTGGAGCATCAAGGACAACATGGACTTGTGAAAAACTGAAACTTGCTAAGCACTTCTGAAACAGCTTTATTATTAGATTTCATGATGGAGTGCTTGACAGTCAGACAGCCTAGGCTTGGAGGTTGAAAGCACCTCATGCAGAGGAAGAAGGTTTCGTCCAGGTGTTCCTTTTTTTTTTGCTGGTATTCCCCATTTAGTAGCGCACGTCTCAGTACGCAGAGTTTTAAG